GCTCACAACCAACTTTAATGGAGCTATGGCAGTTTATACACACCGAGAGCTGAGCTGCCTTTGTACCTAGAAAACACCATACGAATGGACAGTAATAGAACTTTTTTTTTGTAAATAATACTTTGTTTGTATGGTGTTTAAGGAGATTCAGACTTGGCCTCAGCCTCATATCATCAGTAGACAGTCTGCCCGTTTTACAGATGGCTACAGTGAAGTACAAAAAAATTAAGTGGTTTGTCTCAAAGTAATAAAGAAAAACCACAGATAGTGAAAAAAGATGCTTCATTTTCCCTGCTGTTGGAAGAATCTCACTGCTGTTACCTTTAATTAAAAATTGCATTCACTGCCTCTTCCCTCCAAGGGGGCCAGAAGTCCAACAGTTTTAGAACATACCATTACCAAGCAAGAAAGCAAGAAAAGGGGAAAGAGGGAATAATTTTAAGTTATTAAAGTTTTAATACAGAGTTGCATAACTTGCCAAAATAAAAGTGTACTTTTACAATTACTTTTTTGCACTGGTAGATTTTACATCTGTAAATAAGGAGGGGAACAGACTTATTTTAAAGGAAAAAAACCCACAACACTTAAAAAAAAAAAAAAAAAAAAGCAGCCAAGACACTAAAAAAATAAAGTATTATTTCCTTTAGTCCATGTTAAATCTTAATGGTATTACAAGAGTTAATTATTTAGAACAGCAGGCTGTTAAAGGAATCCTGTAGGAAACGTGGAGTGCATTATTTCTTTAGTGATCTCTGCTTCCATGGAAACAGTTTGTCAATATAATTCTAAATCTCATAAAAATAGGGCACTAGGTCTCTGTAAAACAGCAAGACATTTCCAATTAAACAACAAGAATGCTTTTATCTAGGCCATTAAATGCTTTGTTCGGAATCAAATACGACTGCTATGTTACCTGGGATGTTAACAGCCAGCTACTTCCCAAGTGCTGGGTCTGCGTGGCTAGATTAAGGCACCCTGTGCACGTTCTTACTTCCTGTGCTGCCTTTGTAGGGTTAGCCGCAGCAGCGCAGTAGGTCTCCTTCCCCTTTCGGGCTCAGGGGTGCCCTGCTGCTACGCCACCCCACACGTAGCCTTTTGTGGTGCGTGTTAACCTCAGTGCTGCCTGCTTTCTGCCTTCACGGCGTCTCTTTCCACCATGCAACGTAACGCTCAGCGAGTCCTAGGGGACCAAATTCTCTATTAGCACAGCAGGAACAAGCTAATCTGGCTTCTGCTACTGGCAGAAATAGTTCTAGAAACAACATTCTCGAATCAAATTTGGGTAATGAATGAAGATGTTTGAAAGACAATTTGATGACTACATTCAGACTTCACTGAAATTATACATGAGAATACACATATCATATTACTTCCTTTAGCTATCCTACCTACAGCCAGAATTATCTCTGTGAAAACAGCATGGAAAACAGATCTACCGTTCCAGCATCCTTACCACAAAGTATCACTGGATGATTTTTTGAAGGAGACTAAAGCAGAGGCTTTGTGAGAACAAATGAAAGACACAGACCTACACAAAGGTGCACAGCTTGCCCATAAAAATTAATCACTAGCTAGAAGCTTATATGCACTGGTTAGAACAGTTTTATGTCTTAGTTCAAAGCCACAGTCATATTTTCTAAATTCATTTTAAGTTTTATTTTTCAGTATCAGCTATAACAAAGCCCCCTCTAGTGGCATGGTTTAGTTGAATCACCTTTTTTTTTTTTTTAAAAACTACTAACTTGGAATAATGAAATATCAGCTCTTAGGTTCAAGAGACAAGAACCTATTACAAATAGGGAAGATAGTTTTTAAAGTTATTGAACAAACAGTCTTCATTAAGTCGCTTGGATACCATCAGTGAAGAATATCAAAAAAGTGAGCAAAATGAGAAAATCAGTGGCAACAGCTTTAACTTTTCTTGCAACAAAACTATCCTCCTAGGGAAGTTACCCATTTAAAAAAAGACATTAAACAAACAGAGCAAACACCCATAAGCACAAGGCATAAATCCTTGTGGAAAAGCACTGCCGATAAAGGATATTTGCCAAAAGTAATGCATCTTAGGCATTGCTTTATCAACTGCTGACACTTTCAGTTTTAGTTATATCTTTCCACTTGCTACTCACCTTTTTCCCTCTCTCCTGAAGAACTTTAGCTAGGCATAACGGGTCTTCTTACAAAAAGAAATAGCATATTACTCTTTAATAGTTATATTAAAAGGGAGCTAGCATAAGAGGAATGCCTGGCTGAAAAGAAAAATCAGCCTCTCAGTCAAGAGATTTAATGCCTTATACATGTTTAGTAGCAGAATTGGCAGTATTAGTAAAACAGACTTATCTTCTTAAGAGTATGCCACTGCAGTCAAAATAAACTAGGAAAAGCAGACTAGTTATTTTCTTACCACGGCTCCTGCCAACAAAATTATTAGTCCGCATTACAATTGTCTTATTTCTTCCTGATTCACGTAGAATATTCTATGATAATACTGGATTCTGGTAGCAGTTAGTTTCCCCTCACTCCCACCGCTAATAAAACCTACCTCTGCTTCAAATTTGGTTAACGGGCAGCCTTAAATACAAGAACGACTCTTGGGAAATTTGGAGTCTTCAAGTGCATATCAAAGGCACAACACTGCACAACGGCCTCTTCTCAAGAGGCATTAATTGCTTCAAGAGCATGTTTTACTCAAAACTTCTCTTACCTAACATGACTGTGTTAAATCCAATTAATACAACTGTATTACTTTCACTCACTTTAATTATTAAACAGAAGCAGCCAGCAGGTTGTTACCACTACTTTGGTGATACTGACATCTGCTCTTAAATGGCTGGAAAGATATCTAGACAAAAAACGTTTCATCTACTTCATATTGCTGTTACGTTTGAGGTTCAGATTTCTCTTTCTACAAATCAGAACTAATTACAACTTTTAGTACATACATTTATACCATGTGATTTTTTTCTATAGAGCAATCTATGCAAAACCGCAACAGAGTAACTCACAGTGCAGAACACTCCAAAACTAACCAGGGAAGGAATGCTTTGTCAGCCAGAGCGTAGTCTAAACTAGAAACACAGAAAGCCATGCAATATTTTTAAATTAAGAAATCCCAGAGATGCCATTTTAGAATATACGCAGACTGAGTCAACATGCCTTATATATACACACCGATGCACCAAGTTTGTAAATTATACATAGCAGTGGAATCTAAAGCTGCATACCAGCAGATATGGACAGAGAAGAGAAAACAGAACATCCCCCAGTATTAAATCCATAGCTCTCGAATCTGCATTGGGAAATTCATCGTGTATGAAGCGCTCACATTTTTAAATGATCAGGTTCTGCACCTTCCACTTAGAAATAAGGAGAGACTAACATTTTATGAAAGCATGATAAAAAAGTAATTTCAACTATCTGCAAGGAGTTCCCTCATTAGGGAACAACTTTATAATATCAAAGCTTTTCAAAATCTGTTTAGCTCTACACAAATGAAGAGATGAAGTTAAAAAGGGAGACATCTAAAATCTGAAAATTCCATTTATGTTACATAGAACTAGATACATATACATATATATTTTAAATAAGAATCAAGTCAATTGTCACCACTCCAGGTATAAACTCAAGTTCTTGCTTGCTTCATGTTTTCAAATATATTTTAAGACCTATTTGAAACATTTTGACCAAGATAATCTGTGTATATAATAAATGTATGCAAGTCAAGTATCCTCATGATTTATAAAGCAAAATTTAAAGCACATTTTTCTATAAAAATTCACAGTGATATAGTTCACGAGATATTTGCAAGCTGCAATCAAAAACCTCAATCAGGGTCAATTCTATTTATGACTAATTTATCCGAATACACGCTTGTATGAAATTATACATGAAGAACTGATACAAAACAATATATTATCTTGTTAAACTGCACATTGTAGAGATAAGGTCTGAATATAAAAGCATATACTCCAAACTTCTTTAGACAAATATTTTTCCGTTTGCTGCAAAACGGCACTTAGTTTGCCACATGACATCAAATCAAGAGCTCTTGTTTCCACAGGAAACAGTGGCAATTAGAAGCTACAAATCACAATGATGTGACAGAACAAGATATCTCCCTGTAGAATGGAAGATCAGAAACAATGCAACCTGTAATAAACAGGAGTTATCATTTCCACTGGAAACAAGGACAACTAGAAATGAGAAGTCATGAAAACTCACCAGCCTTTCCCCCCAAGTATTAAAAAAAAAAAAATGGCTAAGAACATGCGCAAAAGCTACTTATCCATAGGGATCACAGGAAAACAAATTAGATAACGTATTAAACCAAAGAAGAAAACTTCAGATTAGGTATCAGGAAAGATTAAAACCAATGATTTACAAAATTCTCATTTCAGTAAAGTGGTAAGTTTTGTGAATTCATTCAAACTTATAATCCCTAAAGCATTAAAGAACATTAATTCCTCTCACGTACATATACCTGGTATTGATCTAGTCAGATGTGTACCTGTAGATAGAAAATAGGAGAAAATTCCCAAAGTGAAAGACTTGAGGGAGGACAAATTCTCATTCAGGGTTGAAATAGAGTTCTCTAGTTTGTCCTTCTTCCCAAATGGTAAGCTGTTGGTCACGCGATCTTAACTCTGACACTCCCATTTTTACAGAACGTCAGAGTTCCTCATGTAGTCAGAAGACACATGAGGGGAATTTTTTAAACACATCTTCAGACTATAACAATACAAGTACACCAGGTTCTGTAACTGTTATTTTTAACAAGGATGATGATTCTGAAAGAGCTGACATAATGGGAGGAGGGGGGAGGGATCATGAAACAATTCAAAATGTCATAGTCTCTTTTTGTTATTGTTGTTAAAGCCATCACATTGGCAACTCATTTGAACATTCATTCTCATTTTCTTCAGGATTACTCTTTCTCTCACTTTGGTAGGTGGAAAGGAACAAGTTTTCTATCTGTGTCAAGAACTCTTCAGCAATGAAGCAGTTTGTTACCTTGCCCAGAGTCTTCCTCATGCATTCCAACAGCTAGTTAAAACAAAAGGAAAATTAAAAAAAAAACACAAACAAAAAATCCACACAACTCATTTTTTCCTAAGTTTCTTGTTTGTCCTTCCAGCTAGTAAATACTTAAAAGGGAAATTTTTAGATTAACCTTATAGAAAGTGTTCCTTCTAAACTTTAAATCGTTCAGTTGAAACAGTCAAACAGAAATACATTGGAAGCCTTCCCACATTACCTTGTTTGGGCCTTTTTACCAAAAAAAAAAAAAAAAAGTCATGCACAAATATAGCAGCAATGCATCATAACCAGTTGTACAAAGAGGGACAACACATGCTGATCTTCCCTTGCCAACAGTTAGTGCTCAATAATTGGCTATGTAACATAGGATTAAAATAGTCACTTCCGCAGTGGATGCATGTTATTTTATAGATTAAGTTCCTTAAAACAAATTATACAACAGCTAAATTCAAAAGAGTATTCTACCACCTCGGTATAAGATTTAGGTCGCTTATAAGTAAATTCATGTTGAGAAGAAAAACTTAGAGGTGGGTAATTACTGTGTATGTGTTTTCTGTTCACATCTTTTGCTTTGAGCAGATTCTCTGTCTTGTTTGTGCAATTAATGTTACAGCTTTAGCTATTTAGAACTTCACAGCAAACACTACACAGACTAGAAAATTAAAATTTTCACTTATGCATGACAGACATGGCACAGCACTACCTTACTGACAGAACAAAGACTAGGAAGTCTAAATCTTCTCAACATGCATGCAGCTCTCCCTGATGTTGAAAGCAGGCAACATGCTGAGAAGACATCATTAATTTGCCATTCTTTCTTCTCCAAACTGAAGTTAAAACTGTTAGTATCTGCTTTAACCGTTGTCCCCAACTCTCTCAAGTGAGCTATCCTTATTTTCATTGTGTTTGTAAGTAAATAAAGCCACACCATACAAGTAATTTATTGTTTATCGTTAGTCTATATCTGTAATTTGCAAAGCTGTTAACTTCTGGTGATTCCTGATATATCAGACTAATATTATTAAAAAATATTTTCAAGTTTAAAAAGCTAAAATTAAGAGACTTACTTTCTGCAAACAAGTCAAGTCAGAATCTCGATGAAAAATTTTATCCATGGGGACGCTGCTGTTGAAAGTAAAATCAAAAAACAGCGTTGACGAAAGCAGACGTATGTCTTCATTGAAAAGTCAATAATAAATAGGCAAAGCTTCTAAACTGGCTATCTTAAAGTAAGCACATTACAAGCAGACACATACCTATGAGAGAATCTATATTTTTCAATTATCCATCTTGTTTTTTCAAATATCAGTTCCCACTGAGGTTCTTCCAACATCTGCTGTACTTCAAATTTGTAGGGCAGGCCTGCAATCAATTGAACATGATTATTCAGCGTTTCTATTACATCTGACATTCCTTTTTCATTTTAGGTGCAATCCCTTCCTTCCTGGTAACTGTTCACAATTTATTACTAACTACAGCGACTTGCAGACTTGTTACTTGCCAAGGTTAAGCAGGTAAAAGTAAAAGTATGAGGCATTTTAGAATCTAAATTTTATGATGGTGGCAGTAAGGAACAAACCTCTTCTTTCTCCTCCCAGAACAACTCATATCACGGAGATGCACACACACACACAAAAAAAAAAAAAATCTGTGATACAACAGAAAAACGACAAAGCAAATTGAGTTTTTACAACTTAGCACCACTTTCATCTTTTCTAGTCGTTAAGTTCTATATGGTTATTAAGTGAGAAGAAAAAAAATGTTTCTTTTTTCATGTGTGAACTAGCTGGCAAAGCGGCTGACTACTGTTCTAAACTTCAGAGGAATCATGCTACTAAAGGAAGAAATTCAGCTGGTTTATTGGGAGTACCTGAGGAGGGGAAGAAAAAAAAAAAAAAAAAAAACTACAACAGTATTCTAAAGGAATGCCAGAAAGTTACTGGTAGCGCAGAAATCAGTTACTGAACATCGCGAACAGAGAAAGATGGTACATTTCAGTAAGTCACTAATGAAGTGCCTTTCCGAGATCATAAGGATGTAATGAGATGAATTACACGCTTTCAAACTAAATCTTAAAGTAAAAGAAAAGAAAGTAGCAAATACAATTTGCTAGTTGAACATATCTTAGACGTGAAAATGTTTAACCAGTGTAGAATGGCTTTTGAAGAATGAGAAAATTCATTTATAGAAATGTTTCATGTGAAACATTAATTTTTTGTTCATTCGCACAGAACTCTACTGCCACAGTATAAATTAACTTTACAGATGCTGCAGAATTAAACACCGCTTCATGAGAAGGTTTATGAAAAACTTTGACAAATATATGCTGTAATTTTTTTTTTTTTCTTTAGAAACTGATCTATGAACAATCTGCACAGACTTGGAAAAATAACCCAATGGTAAATAATCCATAAGAGAGATCTTGGGTTATTTCCAAAGAGCTACAGGAGATACCATTTTGGAAAAAATTAATTTCTGGAGGAAGATAGGAATTTTACATCCTCCGTTACGTACGTGACAAAAAGATGCCTAAACCTCTGAGGACAGAGAACGTTTGTAAGTATTTTAGTTCCACACCACAGGAGTGGGGCGTGTGAAGGAACGGGAATCCAGGATTAGAGTGTAGCACTATCAGTAACGTAAACAGGAATTACTGCACAGATGTGGTCAACACTTCGCTTCCTCTAGGACTATGAAGCAAGTCTCCAGGTAGATGGTCTCCCACGCTTACTTCCACAGGAAAAAACAGGGGGAACTGTCAGGTCACGTGATCTTTATCACCTTGCCAAGAACATTAGAAAACCTGACATCTGCATACAAAAATCAGGATTTATACATGAGAGAAAAGAGACAAAGAACATAACCATATAGTGTTATCCTGTGAATTTGTCTCAAATTAACGTCAGGCAATGAGCAGAACGTTTGATTAATGCTTAAAAACCCATGTGTTTCCTATGATGTGTTCTTAAGCTATTCAATTAGAAAACAAAATCATTCTGTTTTCATGAAATGTTAGTGACATTTTAAATCAACAATTTACTCCCTTAGGTTGGGATTCGGGCCAGCATGCCATTTCTAAGACATGCTTGATAATTCATCTTTCCTATCTGCATTTTCCTGGACAGCTGGTAAGCTTGATCCTTTGACCTTCTGAATACTGTCACACAAACAAGGATTTCTGGCTGCTATTCATTCATCCACCTCCTAGCTACTACAGTGGCCAGTTCTTTGCTATTATACTTCTGTCTCTTCTGTCAAGGTCTCCGTTCAGAAAGCAACAAAGTTTAAGTAATAATTTGAAACAGCTTCTCAGTTATTCAATGACTTTTGAATGTAAAGAGTACATTCATAATATTTGTAATGTAACTGTGTTCATAATGCAAACTAATGACGACCCTTGCCCCAATACCTTTATTCACTTCATACTGTGGGGAATACTATCATGCCAGTATGCTAATTCAGAAAAATAATCCTGTATCTATACTTGCATATTCTTGTTACGACAGCATGGGCCACTTGCAAGATCACTGCTTAAGTGAAACTCCTGGTTCTGTATAACAAGTCCTCCTTACCAACATGGATACACACACACATACACACCCCTATTTCTCAAATCACAGTTCAAGTGCAAACAGTATTTTTCCCCTTAATGCCCAAAAGGAAAAGAAGAATGAAAACAATGAGTCAGACACTGGTACTTACGGTAGGAACCATCAGCACTGATCTCATCGCTAATTACTAGACAAGTAATCTGAGAATACGGAAGTGGATTATTTCGGTTATAAGGACTTATAATCATTCCAATGAACATGGCGCCACCCCTGGAGAAATAACTCTAAAAACAACAAAAAGCACGAGAAAAATCCTGATATTTTATGCATGCAATTTTTTTTTCACAATAGCATTCTGAAAATAAAAAAAAAGGGCTAACAGGTACGCCAGAAAACACTCAAAATTTGGGGAACATACATTCACATTTGAGCAAGTTACTGTTTATCATTGCTCATCTTCATTTAAACTACCACTAAATTAGTATTACTATACTCTGTAGCGCTACAAATCAATTTACGAACAAACTGATTTTAACATATATTAATGCAATGATGTGTATTAACACTGTAAATACTAGAGAGACTTTTTAGTTTTGGGGTTATTGTTTTCAAGTGCACAGACCAGAAAGTACCTGATATTTAGCTTGAGTGTCAATATCTCTTATTGAGGGGTTGGGATCAAAGGCTGGGTGGGAATGATACCATCCAATAACACTATATCCTCTGGCAGCCAACGTTTCCGAGGCCTGCGTTTGAGACACTGGATCCATCTCACACTGCAATCCCGTACTGAGACTATTGCATGGTTCTGCTGCACAAACCTGTTACCCAAAAAAAAAAAAAGTGTATAGATTGACTGAAGCTTCTTGTATTTATCCGTTAAAATTCTTTAAATAAATTTTATTTCTGATTCATATACCAGCTCTTCCTCATGAAAGAGCTGACAGTCCAAAACTTGAACGTAAGCATAGTTCTAAAACTTCAAGATTACAGTAATTAGTTTCAGCTTCAACATACTTGAAGTAGCTGCTCCTTCGGAAATAACATTTACATCTATTCAAATTATATATAAAGTCTTAATATATTATTTTAGAGAAAATGTAAAAAGATAAAACACTTACTTCAACAACGTGATCAGCTTCAGAGTATCTTCCGCCTAGCAATCCTATTACTTCTGCCATAGACACATGAGAGTGCTGAAATGATATTAAACAATTGTTGAAGATCAAATTGAATGATTTCTCCTAATATTGATTCACAGACGATAAAATATATTGGCTTCACAATTCCATTTCAGTTACTTGTTAATGACAGTAGAAGGAAAAATTAGGACAGATTAAGATTCTGAAGTATCCCATGTTTTGATTTAAAATGAACATAAAAGATGACTTTTTGCTTGATTTTATATATGCATATATGTGTTTGTATATGTGCATATATACATACGTGTATATTTATATATACACGTATAGTGCATTTGTATAACTCTTCTATATACAAAATACTAGCAGCTTCAGAAACTGAAGCCTCTGAAATACTGTAAAACAACTGTGCATTTTGGTACAAGCTGTTTTTATACTTAAAAAAAAAAAATTTTTTTTTGTAAACACAAAATCAATTTCTGGACCGGTAGGAAATAAACCCCGAAGATTTCAAAATGGCAATGCATATTCAAGAGTAGTTTCAAGTAATTACATCTAAACTATGACCTTGAGGGTAATATGTACTAACACTCTCGTCAGTATACAACCACGTACCATCTAAAAAAAGCTAAACATAATGTAAAAAAAGCATTTTAAGGTATTTGGGTTTTATTTAGTAACAGATGCTAGATCTGAATGAAAAGAAGTCAGCTTAAACATCGTATTTCTCAGTTTCTAATATCGCACATAAAAAAAGCACACATATATCATAGCTTTTTAAAAAGATAATACTCACCAAATCCATTATTAGAAGTGCTTCTGAAGACACTTTCACCTGAAAAGGTTCCTGAAATGATAAATACAATAATGAGTATAAGAAAAGTAATACAAGTAAGTAAATGATTGTTCTTAATTATTCACTCATAGGCACATACCTGTTTTTCTTCCGTGAATAAACAGCATGGTATCAGCTGAAAGGGATCAAAGGAACTATAAAATGAAAGAAAATGTCTCTAAAGATGTAGGACAGTTAGCAAACTAAGTTTCAAGTTTCCCCACCGTCTCCTTGACATCAGAGGAAAACCTTTATCTTTTCTTTACCGGATCCTCTCATCCCACAGTCGGACAGGTTTCCACTAACATTGCTACCCATGCCCATGAATTTCAATAGGAAACATTTGAAATGCCTACACGTTATTTCTGACCAGAAATAATACATTAATGCTTTGCAGTGTTCCAGTCGGACCCCTTGGAAGCTGTTTTATTTCCAAAAGATCTATTTTCGAACACGATGTACATCAAGTACCTTTTTACTTGTCTTGAACCTTTAGAAGATTTTGCAGGTTTGAGTTTCTCTTCCTCTCTTCTTCTTGCTAATTCTTCAGCAGACAGGTGCTAAAGGAAAATAAAAAACTGTCTTAAGTGCTCTTCCAATACCAATTCCAAGTCTAGCCCAGAATAACTCCCCGACATCAATATCCTCTTGATACGTTACCAATTTTTTCTTTCTGGACTTTGCATGATACAGGGAAAGAGCCGTAACAGAATCAAGCAGTATGAAAACAAACACAATCAGAGATCCAGTTTGCAGAAAGACTGATGAGAGAATTATCACATTTCCCCAAGTCAATCAAATTTAATAAAAACCACAGCCCGTATCTCAAACCTTGCATGAATGCAAGTGTTGTAACTAAGAAAGGAGAAAATCTTCCATTATGACTTGTAGCCAGAATTTTTCATAACACCTCTTTGGGAATTAATGTTCTCAGACGTTTTTGAATCCCAAAGTAGTTATTCTGCAGAGAATACCAGAATTATTAACCACACTTATTCAAAAATTAGGTACATCACTATAAAGTCAGAAATCTTGTTACAGATAATTCTTACTGAGCGCTGTAAACATAAGTGAATTTTCCACACAGGAGAAATAGGATGTTTACAGTTCTTTGTCTTTAATTTGAAATTGTAGAAATGGGCATACTCACGTGGATTTTTTTTCCCCCAAATCTTCTATAAAATATTTAAATTTGTAAGAATTTTTTGTAGTAGCTCCATAAACTACAGTGTTTCTGGGAATATTACTAACAGCAGTATTAACATTAGGAACCATCTGTGTTACAAGCAAAAAGGAACCTTACAAGACTGGAAAAAAAAAATAAGTCCTATTCTCCTATTTCCGATTGTTAGCTTTAGTAAGGCTAAAGTAAACTAATGAAAAGATCATGCTCAAGACTCAAGTAATCTGAGTACTAGACCAATTCCTATTGCACTAAAGAACACCTGAGTCACAAGTTCTGCACTTTCACTCATTAATCATACATATGTATGTACCTGTAAGGCTGCTGTTTTACTCTGGATCTGTAGCTTTAAAAGGAACAGGTTCAAATATGTAATTGAATTTTTTTTTGTTTTTGTTTTTTAAATAAAAACAGTAGAAAGTCATCTATTTTGACATCCAGATATCCACACTAAAAAAGAAACGGGTAAACTTTTTTTTCCTTTCAAAAAAGGAAGATGAAGCCGTCATTTTCTGCCAGATTCATGAGAAATCTGAATTAAATAAAAATGAATTTTGTGCTAAAGTAAACCCAATTTTTTTTAAAGGTACAACTAAAAGGAATCATTGGGAGAATTCATTCCATTTTTTGCTGACCCTTGATGGCGTGATATTTTAACCTTAATTTTGCATTAAGCTGTCCCCACTCCATATAAAGGGTTTATCTAACGTGAAATGAAAACAATTTTTCTGTAACTGAAAACAAAGAGTCATAAAGTCTCCCACACGACAATGCAAAGAGTTTTATAGACGATAAAACAGGGCCATATGCGCTCGTGACATGAACACCTTTGTAAACACAAAGTACAATTTTTTCTTTATCAGTAGCATAAAGATGTAACAGATGCTACATTATTTTCAAATTACTGCTTCCAAAGAGAGGTTAAGCACCTATTATACAACCATTTTCCTAGTATATTTCATGCAACACCACCTGCTAGCAATTAGCAAGAATTAGTTCTGTAAGTCGAGTTTAACAACAGAAGGGTTACCTCAAACGTCTGTCCTTCCAAATCCTTAGCATCACACCAGTTTCCCCAAGGGTCTCGCACTCGTCGTCTTCTTGTACGCTGCAACAAGCAAATAAACAAACATGAGTCAAGGATCATACTCCTGAAACACTAAATTTACTTAATTTAATCAGCCATAAGAAAAACATCCAAAAGGTTACTTTCACATGGACATTACTACGACAAATTTCCAAAAAAGAAAACATCCCTGGAGTTCTGTAGAATTAAGTAGTTCACAATCTATCACAAAACATCACCAATAAAATTTCAAAAAAATTTGTTTTAAGGCTGTAAAACATAAATCCTGGATGATACTCCATGGATCATCAACATCCGACAGCAACAGTACGCTATTAACCAGCTGTGAGTTACAGTGCAGACAACACAGCAAGCTATAAACTAATATGTTTACATCTAGTGTATGCTACAGTTCTTTATACGTAAAATTCTTTCTTCACAGTAGGACTGATTTCGTTTTCTTTCATTAACTAATTTATTTTCTATGAAGTATCTAAAAACCTACATTAAACATAAATATAAAAATTAATCTGGCAAACCTTGGTAATTTACATAGTAATAAATGAGTTACTACTGTGCTTAATTATGCACAGAAAGCTCTCACTAAGTTACATCAGATATCTAGTATACTTAAGGATTAGAATGCAAGCCACTTAATGACACACTGCCAATGCACTCCACTGTGTTCTAGCTAATTCAGTCTAATAAATTATGGAAGGGGTTGGGGCTCCAAAAGAGATTGTAACACAATCTTAGCTGAGCACCTGAATACAAATTAATCGCGCAAGGTAACACAAATTAGGACAATGCACCTGTCCGAGAGCAAAACTAGCACTTAGGCAGACACATGAATTACAACGCATTCTGATAAAATGGCGAACAATCACAAAAAATTCTTTAGATGTCCTTGTTTGATAGTAGAAAATTTGAAAAGACCATCTCCCTAAACTTACCATTGACTGCAAACGCTGAGCAAGTTGGTAGGCCTCCGCTGTGTCTTTGCCTTCTTTGGACCGTGTTTTATCAGCTGGTTGCGGTCTGTTATAGACAGCCTGTTCTACAGGATACAGAGAAGATGTACACTGGCACTTCAGTAAACTATGAAGCCACTTATTTCTGGTACAGAGCCAAGAATGACCAAAATAAACAGTAAAGAAAAATGCCATAAAGAATCCCGAAACCCCCCCTCCACCCTGTTAGAAGGCACCTCTTCATGGTCATACCACTGACCGACTATTGTCCTCTCATTACCACAGCACTTTTAAAACAGGAGAACTTCCTTTTTTCTTGTTAATTTATTTTTAAAAGTCTATGTTTCAGAAAGTATGTACTGTGGGACACTCCTGCTTTCCAAGCTGACCGTCACTCAGTGTTTGACCAAAATCTATCCGCTACAGAGACTCTAAAACTGAATGCTAGTGATACTAACTTACAGGTATGTATTAACATATCACCTAATTTTAACATTTGAATCTTGTAAGAAAAAGAGCCTGAGGAAGCAGATATTATTTCAGAAATACTTAACGTTCAGTCTAGGAAAACAAGGAAAAGAAACAATAGCTTTAATTCTAGCTTCTCTAGGGGAACCAGAATTTCAGATATAGCAGGTATCAGGAAAACAAACAGAAACCCAGGACATGCAGAACAACGCATAAGGAAGAACAGCAGTTGGTGTCTAGGGTCACATAAAAATAGGGGAGGGGGGAGTCTCTTTTGTTAAATCAGAAACCCATAATCCTGTAAGCAGGTTACAAACTCCTCTAGAGTCCCAAATGCCCTAATAGGCACATTTCCGCTCAGGAGGTCCTTCTCAGTAAGGATTAATGCAACTCTCCTGTGCGAGCAGTACACTCTAACATGAAGTAGTCCTTTATCATTAGTATCAAAATAGGCCAGAGTCATATAGGTTGGGGACACGACTGTACTAAATATAATGCAAACACCCAAGATTCTCTTTTGAAGAACTGAAATGAAACAGCAATTACTATTTAAGAGATCAGGAGTAAAAGAACAGAAAAGTTAGAAGATAATCAGAACTGAGCATCCATTTGGATAAAGTACAGCCATTCGTGCTACACTGAGAAGTGAACTTGAGACTTATTTTTAAAGACACATCTATCAACCTTCTCGTTTACCCCTCACGTGAAATTATTCATTTTAACAAAAAAAAACTGACAATCAATAATAGATGTTCTCAGCATGTACTCTTTAGAATTTAGAGTTCTGAACTGATTGCAGTTAAAATATTGTTTTTACCACAGCCAAAGTTAATTGCTCCTATTAATTCCAAATACGTGTGTATCCGTCCAATACAGTTAACGTCACCACAGTTCTTCAGGCCTGGACGCACCGAAGTCTTATTCAGGTATTTGGGTTTACATCTCTCCCTAAAATAAAGCATAGCACATGTTCAAATAGTAACATAAACCATGGGGGAAAGTAAGGGTGGGAGAAAATTGCATGACTTTACCTTAGCTTAAGACGCACATAATATGCACCACTGTACTGAGCTCTCACAGCAAAAGTATAAATTTCACAAAACACGGACAATTTATTATGGGGTTCTGCCCATATATTCATATTTACGCAGACTGAAACAAATTCCTGAAAATGACCGGTGCCAGGAAGCAATGAATTACTCAAGAGTACTATGATTTTGTTAAACGCTGATAAGAATGCCTGCGTTAGATTAATCCAAATAGCTTATGTAACCATAGGCATCCTCGGTATAATAAATGAACCTGTTTTCACTTCCTGTGCACTTATTACATGCCTTTAAACTGATGTCGAGTAGTTTCAGTTCAACATTTCTTCTCTGATATGGGATTTTAGAGCTGCTTTGCAACTAGAACAAGTTGTACAAGACAACTGAATAAGTTAAATGCAGTAATGCTTTTCATACACACAAAACCCCGAACCACCAAAAAACACATAACACAAAGTTATACCAAAACAAACAGTACAGATATTTAGACTGTGACTACAGGGCATTAAGGTTCCTTAAACTGATTCCTAGCAGGTGGAATATAAAATATTAGAACATACAAGCACTGTTCCAAATCAAAAATCAATCGGAACTATTTTTTCTGTCAGTGCTCAAGACTATACTTTCTAGCTGCCCTTCTGTGAAGGCACTCTTCTACAGACATAAAATCAGACACACATAACAGTATTACAGATATCACTACCGACTTAATACCAGATATTTTGATGAACCATTTATTAAAGCCATATATGCATTCTTATATATTTTGGGTGACAAAAAATTGGAAGAAAATAACCTAGCAAAATCGTAGCAGTTTGTTCTGACACAGGACATTCATTTCCATAACGCTTCAAAATATTTCAATTGCTTGGCTTCCAAAACGTATAAAGGAAACGGAAGAGGGGAAAAATGTTCCTAGTCTGTGGTGTTCATCTGCAATCTTTAGAACGTTACCATAAAATTACTTCTACTGTTTTTAAGTAAGCTGTTGGTACCAAGTAGCGTTTTAACTACAACAAAGCAGTGCACAAGTCATCTTAATCACCTAGCACGTAAGTGAAATTAATGCATCTTACCACTGATCCAAAATGTAATTTCTAATTTTCAGATAACGCTCTGGTGTTTTAGCCTGGCGCCCTTCAAAAAATTCAGGAATAGCTTGCTTTTCTTCATCCAGAATGATACTCCTATCAATCTCCACTTCCTGATCAGGTGGCTTAAGATCTTCTGTCTCTTCCTGAGGCTCTTCATCCATTTGGCAGGGAGAATGGAAAAGCAATCCAGTATCAGGCAAGTCCCTCTGTTCCTCAGTAAGCTCCCGATCAGTTACCTGCCTAGTGGCATGAGATGTTACTATTCTACTTTGCTCAGCTTTCTCAATGAAGTTATTACATTGCTGATAATCTAAGTTCATAGATTTATCACCGTTCATGTGCTGAGAACATGTTGCTGCAACATCTGGAAATATTAATGCTTCCACGGTGTCTTGCACAGTATGTTGAGGAACTTCTTTAGGTAAAGAAATTGCAGAACTGTGTCCAACAGATGAAAAAACACATTCCCTTCCTCTCATTTCTTGAGCTGGACTTTGGGAAAGAACTGACAGGTCAGATTTTCCAGCTTCCTGCAGGAAGGTAGGAGAAAGTAGTTCATCCATGTCATCTGTTATATCTACTTCTTCATCATCAGACAATTTTTCAATTTTCACTGCATTCAGATTGGGGTCTGCACGGCCTCTCAAGTTTCCGGGTGACCATGCTTCTACCCTAATTCCATCTTCAGTGGAAAGACTACTGCTACCACATCGATTTTGCTCTTCTTTTTCACATTCATCATTTTTGGCCTTTGGAAAGTGCAAAATAATTTTAGAAGGGAAAAGCAAAATAATCCTCCCATACCTACCCTCCAAATACTCAGAACTGTTTTACATTTAAAAAAAAAAAACAGACATAAGATGAGGTATCTGACAGGCTGACAAATGGTAACGCCTCATATCTTCTCAGAAAAGTCAAGAGAATTATTCTCTAGTGTTTCTTCCTCATGTTTATTTTACTTTATAAAACATTAACATTGCAAGGGACTTTTACACAGCATTACAGGTATACTTTTACTGCAAGTGTAAAATGCCATCACGTATTTCAGTTCAACGCCAACAAAATTGCTATTTATTATTAATAAGAAACAGATAGGAGTAATTCTTTTTTAAAATCCCCAGCAGTTTCAAACAGGGCCAAAAATGGAACTACACTGCCCAGCTGAAACGTCTCCACAGCAGAAGACAAGTATTTCCAGCCTGATAAATAAATAATGCGTATAGTATAATTGAATTCTTATACTCTAGGTTATCCTAGTAATAAAAATACTGAAATTATTCTAGGAATTTTAAATCAGGTCTGATTTCATACCTAAATCTGCAGATAAGCATACTCACTTTTGAATGTGAGCATAAAAAGTGCAGGTAGTCAAATGACAATATCCAGGTAAAGACACGTGTCTACAAACTACACGTACCACAGCACACTTGCAAAGTTTCTGCGCACTAGAAAGATGCCGTTTACCTTGTTCTTAAAGTATTGCCTAGCATAGCTCTTTACTTGTAGAACGGTTCGACTTCCAATCAACTTGGCAATTTTTGTCCACCGGCGCCCAAACTTCACCTAGTACAACAGAACACATTTAAATTATCTAACCTCTAATATTCTAGGCATTGCATTTTACCTGAGAAGTGTTTACACACTCATTGTTCATTACAATCAAACAATACTGCTGCTAAATCCATGCTGAAGAATCTTGCTGCTCATATTCTACAAAGAAAGAAATTACTTCCAATGGTAAGAATTATCGTTACTGTTCTTAAACAGAGGCTCTTCTTTACCCGACTCAGATACACTGTGAACTGTGCTGCTTACTACTCCAAGGAATCCTAGTGAAATGAATTGTTTGCAGGAATGGGCAGCATATACTTCACTTGTCCAAAAAAGCCTGAAGCCCTATTGTTATATAGTTGTACAGTGCCAAATATAAAGTCTCCAAAGAACTGAAGATAGTAATTAAAGGATTTCACTTTAATAGCCTGCTTTAAGCAGACTCTACAGTTTACATTTTTCACTACAGCGTTATGATTGTACCGTGACAATTCATAAAACTGGAAGCCTGATACATTTTGCGATCTCAAATTGTAACGAGTCGCACAGACAAGATCCGGTATACAAACGAAGCCATTTTTGGGGATTCATCAGCATAAATCTGATTTATCATTACATTCTTTGTAGATAGCACTTATTTTTAACACATTACAGGTATAAAAATAGAAGCAGATAGAGGTAGTACGCCAATTTTTTCAAATTATCATCTTTTTACTTAAAATGAGTTCACGATTTATATTCAGACTATTACGCACTTAAATAAACTCACCAGTCCTTGCTCAAACAGTTCTTTTTCTTGTGATGTCCACTTTAATGAGTAACTAGCTGATTTTGTAGGTGAACGCACCCTGGGAAGACAAGGACACAGAAATCAGTGGTTTCTTAAAAGCTGTATATTCTCAGATCACAGAAACTGAAGGTGATGTCTAGAATGATGACTACTAGCCAGCTTCTGTAAAACTTGGGATACCGTCTTAAACATGAATATGGCCAATAAAGAGAATATGTAGAATCATGCCAGTTTCTCCATCACAAAGGTAGATTCGAGGCAACACAACATTTATCAGTAACTAACTGTGCAGAAATTCATAGAAGGAACAAGCAAACATATAAGCTCAGGCAAGAAAGCCAACTATAACTAACAATTTTTTTTTTTGATGTGGAGAAACTGTGCTACAAAAATCTGATTAGTTTACTATAGGCTACTTATCAAGCAAGACAATGTTTTTTCATGTTGAAAGGTCCCTTATATTATTTTCTACAACCAAACAAAAGAACTAGAGCACTATAAACCGCCTTAGTTCTAAGTGTCTAAGTTAACACAAAACAGAAACTGCCCTTAAAAACGCAACTCAATTACTAAAGTGTACGTACATGGCTTTTCCAGTTTTCTTATGCGGACTGCAAATATACAACAAAAATGAAAATGAAAATTAATAATCGTGGTACTGTTGAATATCAAAGCAAACAACCTTATTTTGGAAGGATTTTTCACTTCCTTTAATCTCATTGTTCATTTTTACAGAACAGATCTTACCTTCTCATAGATTTTTTTTCCGCTTCCTTTTGATTGAGCCATATTTTTTCAGAAAGTGCTTTATTAGATAGATAATATCTGGAATCTTTATTAAGTAAATTTTTGAAGCAAAGATATTTGTACAAGCAAGAATTCTAATAATCATGCAAATTAACTGAGACAGACACTTAGAAACTACTAAAACAGTTTTCATCATATTGTTACATTATCCATTTTCCAATTTAACCCTTAATAATTTATTCGATTGGGAAAATGACAGTTGCTTAATTTTCTTGTTTCTCTGTGTATTATGACTCTCAGTTGCAAAAAGAACAGAAAAATAAATTAGTCCATGCTTAGTAATACCATCACCTAACTAGACTGCTGAGGTTAATTTACGTCAGCAATGCTACTAATGGTAATACTATTTAAATCAACACTGCTGAAAAAAGGACGTTCCTTCCTTTCCTCTTCCCTTCTGCTCATCTTATCCTACGTGCTGGCAGAACTATACATGTAGCCAGACTGAATCAGGCTGAATGTACGTAGCCAGCTGAAGCACAGTACAGCAAGAAGAACTAGCTATTTTTAGCCAGATCGGCTCTTTGATCAGGTTCACTACGGAGCAACGCAAATGGCTGCATCAGCACAGCGCTGGAGGTGGCCTGGAAGCAGCAGCTAGAGCAGCAATGAATACTGCTATTTTTGGTGCCAATGCCAGCTAAATAATGTTAAGCTTTGCCTTCTTCATTCCTCAGAATGAATCTTAAAAATCATCCATGAATTTTAGGGCTGTTTTTGTCAAGAGACAGAGATACTGTGAACATTAAGTGCAAAAAAAAGATAAAGAGAAGAGTTTGACCCTTATTTGTAATAGTAGTTGTAATAGCTGAAATAGTAATAGTTGTAAGTGTAGTTGCAATAGTATCACACAATACAACACAGAAAAAAATATTCTCAAAATAAAATATTCTAAGATTTTAAATCAACCTTATTGTTTGAAGACTGACATGGACTTTAAAACCATTAAGCAAACCTCACAATTTGGATACGATTAAGACAGATTAGGCAACAAAGATGGAGAAAAAGTACAAAGGAGCACTCACGTCACCTACATCAGGCACCCAAATTCAGCAGTTTAGCCTGTCCCTTCCCCTCAGAATTGCTCCACCCCTTAATGTCTCTTTCTCTCTCCACTGACTGACTACCTAAGAAGATTCGGTTTCCCATGCCTAAACTTTGTATCTGTGACTAAACCTGGTTGTTGTCAATACACTGTAAGGAAGCTAAAGACTTACGAGGGTCAGAGGAAGCTGCAGGTAGCTAGATAATTTAATGCAAGTGTCTTCCCTGACTTCTGCAAGCTACCTACAAGATACCAAAGCTTCAGTTACATTCACAAGTAGAAGATTTCTCTACTTCCTCTTTAAACAGAAAGGTGTCTGTTGTCCTGCACACAAACACACAAGCAAACCAACAAAAGGATACTCTTCTTCCAGCAACATTTTCTCAATAACAGCCCTATTTTCTTCACTAATGCTGCTGTCCAACGTCCACGGCTGCAAACAATACAAATATTTTTCAATATTTCAGTTCTGCCATGATGTTATACAAGCATCAAGAATTAATGTATAATAGCTTCCAAAAGTAAGCAACAAATACTTATTTTAAAGCAAAGGCAATTATAGCCTGAGTCGTCTGTAGAAAAATAGGATTAATAATCTAAAAGAGCACGCACACGGAGGGAAGAGAAGGGAGAGAACAGAGACTGTGAGCACCTTGCTAGAAGAACCATTCATTTAAAAATTACTTACGAGATTGTTATCAGTTCTCCAAGATGAATCAAGATAGTGATCCTGCAGCAAGCTTGAAGCTGTATTTTCATAATCTCTAAAGAAAAGATTCCAATGTTCAAAACATTACAAACATATTCAAAGAAACTGGATGCTTTGTCAGAATTAAAATAAATATGGAGCTAAATAAAGTAACTATTAACAGAGGCAATGACAGAATTAGACTCTAAAATTAAAGTTGTATATTGCAGACTGTTACGTAAGGTTACTCTTTTATAATATTCCATAAGACATAGCATAAAATACCACAAGTAAACAATCTTTAGTAGGACTCTCAGCAGCAACAGCTCACCTATCTCACTGCAGACTGTATGACATACCAGTAAAACCCTGAATGGTAAAAATCCTCATCTAGGAAGAATGAAAGCAGGAGGTGAGAGTGGAGGAAACCAGTTCATTGTAAAAACCTCGTAACACATACACAAACGAAAGAGGCAAGAATTTTGTGGACAATTAGAGAACTATAGCTTTAATCTTAAAACTGTCATTGACTTGTGCTACCTCCACTTAACATTTCTGCATTTTCCCCCTCTGTAAAATCAGAAGACCCCTTTACAGAGAAAGGGCTGTTACCTCCAGAAGAAGGCTGATACTTACACAGGGCTCAATAAAATCCCGTCGCATGCAATTATTTATGTTCTGACTGACTTCATCCAGATTATGCTTGATCTTTTTAGGTAAATAGCTACTTATTACTTTAAAAATCTAGCACTGATTAATGTCATTGGATCAACTTCCCACTACCTTAATGCGGTGTAAAAACCTCCTTAGCACTTCACATAATTACCTGTTTTCAAGATCTTTGCTTCGAGAACATTCAGCCTTTTCTAAAGAGTAGTTAGCCCTATATCCCTTGCAATGTTACTAAAAATAATTTAATTACTATTCTGAACTGCTCTGTCCCACCAGGTCAAATGCCTCTTTATAGGGAAGAATTAAATCCCTGCCTACAGCAGGAAACCAATATAAATTCCAGCTTCTTGTAGAGCATATTAAAAAAACGGGTTGGGATCAACAGTGCGTCTTGCTGAGTGTTTTGTCCCCAGCAGCAGCAAGAGGAGGTGCTGCTTCAGGAGAGCTTGCGAGTCCGACTACTTTCCCTGCTCCGTTCCCCTCATCTTCTCCCAGCATCCGTAATCGCTACATTAACAACATAAGTGCACTGCTACCCACTCACTTCAGTGTCTGCTGAGGGATCTATCATGCCTGAATCTGTCGAATCATTTTTTTGGACCTGCCTGGGACTATCCGCTGCGACAGCTTCTGTGGATTTTAGGTTCTGGATGTTTGCTGTTAGAGAACACGGTGGTACTTCTTTTTGGAGAGGACGAGGGAGGATCTATACGTTTTAAGAGTCTCCTAAAAGTCTGACCAAGTCTGACAGTCCCGGCTCAAGCACTGTGGGATTTGGCGAGGACAGCTGTGCATTCACCCCACCGTAATGATTTCCGCAAACCCCAGTTCTGCCCCCACCTCCTCCTCCCCGAGGGGCCCCCGTGTCTCCTCGCCAGGCTTCGGCCCTCCACGGCCGAGGCCGCCCCCTCGCGTACT